AAACCAACCACATAAACAGTTCACTAGTGTCACAGATACTACCCATCATTCTGTTTGTAATGCAAGCTGACTGATGATCCTGTACCATAACTTTGGTAGATAAACAGACAGACATTACGTTTTGAAGGAGGTTTGTATCCTGATTGTGGTGTTGGCTATAATGAATCTATACATGTGATAACATTTCATATAGCATTTCTCCACTCCTAAAAAAAATATTTTTAAAAATATAGTGAAATCTGACTCAGGCTGTGCTTGAGTTAATAATAGTATACCCATATCAAATTTCCTACTTTTGACAATGTACTGCTATGGCTATCTAAGATATCATTGGGGGAAGCTAGGTGAAGGGCATATGGTAACTATAGTATTTTACAAAGCTCCTTGAATCTGTTCCATACTCCAAATAACTACTCTTGGGTCTACAGAAGAGAGAAGAAAGCAAAGCAAGGACTGGTTAATGCAAAATTAAGAATGGAATTTGTCTAGGGCTACAATGGCCAATATAATAGCAACTTCAAATTAAATAATTTTTGAAATTGAGTTCCTTGTTTTCTCTGGTCAAAATTCAAGTGCTCACTAGGCACATGTGGCTAGTGGCTACCATATCGGACAGTGCAGATACAGAACATTTCCAACTTCATAGTAAGTTCTATTGGACATGCTGCTTGAGGGAGGAAAAGGGATGCCATCAGGAAAGGACCATAGCATGCTTCTAAGGTGGAAATGAGCTATTTTTTAACCTAGATGGAGGCCATGAATGTCTTAATATTCTTATTTAAAATTTACATATGTGTTTTTTACACTCTTTTGGAACATATATGGAAAGACAAAAAAAATAAAAATATTAGTTACTGCCCTAGCCGGTTTGGCTCAGTGGATAGAACATCGGCCTGCAAACTGAAAGGTCCCAGGTTCAATGCTGGTCAAGGGCACATGCCCAGGTTGTGGTCTCGACCCACAATGGGGGACTTGCAGGAGGCAGCCGATTCATGATTCTCTCTCATCATGGATGTTTCTATCTCTCTCTCCCTCTTCCTTCCTCTCTGAAATCAATAAAAATATATTTTAAAAAAATATTAGTTACCTAAATCTGTACCCACTTACTCTGCCTTTTCCCAGTTACATGGAAAAGTGTTCTTGCTCTTACGTAATAGGCTAACCTCACGATTTGTGCCAGGATTTCTTCCCCTGCCAGCTATGCAAGAACTTGGCTCTCATAATTGTTCCTGCTCTGTCCTACATCAGTTTTTATTTTTTCACATGTCCTGGAGTATTACCATCAGTTCACAAGTATGCTATAATAACTACCACTTTTTAAAAATTAGGGAAGGAAGGAAGGATGGCTTTCACTGCCCTTTCAACTACTTCTTGTTTTACCACTCCTCTTTAGAACAAAAAATCTCTGGCCCTGGCCTGTGTCGCTCAGTTGGTTAAAGCACTGTCCTGTACACCAAAAGGTGGCAGGTTTGATTCCTGGTCAGGGCACATACCCAGGTTGTGGGGTGTATACAGGAGGCAACCCATCAATGTTTCTCTCTTTCTCTCTCTCTTCTCTCTCTGTCTCCCACCTTCCCTCCCTTCCTCAAATCAATAAAATAAAATAAAAAACATATCCTCTGGTGAAGATTAGAGCACAGAAACTCCACCAGAGAGTTACCTATACTCTCTTTCTTCACTTTGTCTCTCCAACTCTCTTTAACTTATTCCAACTGAGTAATCCAGATGGTCAGTTCTCATTTCCCACCTTACTTGACCTATCAGCAGCATCTGGTGCAGGTGATAACCACCCCCACATACTTGAAGCACTTTCTTCACTCGGCTCCCAAGATATCACACTCTCCTGATTTTTCTCCTACCTCACTGGCTGATCCTCCTCTCACTCCTCTTGGCTGGCTCACAGTTCTTCTTTTTCCATCATCAAGTTGCTAAGTGCCCCAACTGCTCAAACTCAGAACCCCTTTTCTTACCTAGCAATATCCTCTCCTTAGCTGATCTAATCTAGTTTCATTTTTTAAAATTACCATTTAGTTTTAAACATTGGGAACAAGTAATTCTTAAATTTATATTATTCCCAGCCCTGATTTCTCCTTTGAGCTACAAATTAATATATCATTATCAGCTTCTTATTATTTCCATCTTGAATCTAAGAGGCATCTCACTTACTTCTAGAAAATACAACTTGTGTTTTTTCCCCCTTATCGGATCTTCTTCATCCTTCCCCATCATGGTTAATAGCATGATCATTCATTCAGGACAAAAATCTAGTAATCATTCTTGACTCTTCTTTTTCTTTCACATCCCAATATCAAATCCAGAAGGAAGTCTTATTAAATCTATCTTTAAAATATATGCAAAACACAATCATTTCTCACTACCATATTGTACCGCCCTAATGTCCTAGGTCCCAGCCACCATCATTGATCACTGGACCTTCATGCTAGTCTTCTAACTTGTCTTTCTGATTCTACTCTTGCTCTCAATAGTCTCTTTACAGCCAGAGTGACTTTTTTAAAAACATGTTCTAAAAATTGAAAAACTGCTATGGGGAAAAAGGAAACATACTTTCACAGAGGATAGAGAAATGTCCACAGATGCTGGAAAGAAGGAAACATGTTCACAGGAGATAGAGGAATGTTGCAAGATAAGGGGGAGAGAAAAACGAAAGGCACCAAGTGGGTTTTAAACTTTGAAGCTGATATTCTGCAAAAGAGTGACCAATCAGAAAAGCACAGGGTCATAAAATGGGGAAGGGGTCCAATTAGAAGGGAGCATGAAGAGACAAAGAACCACAGCATTTAAAAACCTTAGAAAAAAGGAGCTTAGGGGTTTACCCGCTTGGGAGCCCCTCCCTACGTGGGAGTCTGTATTTGCTTCCAATAAATTTCCACCCTTTTACTAACAAGTCCTTTTAGCCCGTGAATTTTATTCTTCAAACTTCCTGAGCCAAGAACCTGCAAGGGGAAGATCCGCTCCCTGCACCCCATGTTTCCTATTAACATGCAAGACCTTCACCATAATAAAAAAGATTCTCTCATAATTTCTAGGCACTTAAATTCTCATGTGCCCTTATTTTAAATATAATTTACATTTCTGTATACAACTATTACTATGTAGTTAGTTCATTCAAAACCAGTGTTTTAATTTCTGTGCAACCAATTTGCTAGGAATGAGAGTCACAATCAGTAGCAAGTTAAAACAAAACTAAAGGTAAAAGGAAGACACGAGTGTAACAGCGATAGTGGGAGAACAAATGCCAGTATGACAACATGAGGAGCTCCACTCCCCAGTAAAACTGGTGAAAATTATTTTAAAAAAACAACTAAAGTCCTGGATGGTTTTGCTCAGTGGATAGAGCGTCGGCCTTCGGACTGAAGGGTCCCAGGTTCGATTCTGGTCAAGGGCACATGCCAGGGTTTCGGGCTCAATCCTCAGTGGGGGGCATGCAGAAGGCAGCCAATCGATGATTCTCTCTCATCATTTCTTAAAATTAAATATTTATTGTTGAAAATATTACATATGTCCCCTTTCCCCCAGCATTGACCCCTTTTAGCCTGCCCTCACCACCTGACCCCAGCCTTCACCAACCTATTGTCTGTGTCCATGGGTTATGCATATATGCATACAAGTTCTTTGATCTCTTCCTATCCTCCCCCACCTCCCCTCTGAAGTTCTGCAGTCTGGAATACTACTAGACCTTAAAATAGAAGAAAATCTTACCTTCTGTGACAGCATGGATGGACCTGGAGAGTATTATGCTAAGTGAAACAAGCCAGTCAGAGCAAGACAAGTACCATATGGTTTCACTTATATATGGAATCTAATGTACAAAATCAACTAATAAAATAGAAACAGAGGCATGAATACATGGAACAGACTGAAAGCTGTCAGAGGGGAGTGAGCTAGGGGGCTGGATGAAAGGAGGTGAAGATTTGTCAAAGAACATATATGCATAACCCATAGCTACAGACAACAGTGTGGTGATGGCCAGAGGGAAAGGGGGCTGGGAAGAGGAAGAAGAGAGTAAAGGGGAAATAAATGGTGGTGGAAGGAGACTTGATTTGCGGTGGTGACCACACAATACAATATACAGATGATGTATTATAGAATTGTACATCTGAAACCTGTATAATTTTATTAATCAATGTCACTTCAATAAATTCCTTTAAAAAAGCGGGGGGAACTATTCCATTTTAGGAGGCACACTTTGATTACTTTGTCAAGCAATTTGTGCCCTAAGGCACTGTTGTAAACAATAGAGCAATCAATTAGTGGAGATTAACACTGTATTTTGAAGGTGGGGTGTGGAAAAAAACAGACTTCACTAAAATAATATATTCACTAAACAAATAAACAAGCACCTAATAACAAGCCCTGGAAGGGGGACCAGTACCCAGAATTGCTACAACATATTATCTAAAATGTCCAGTTTCCAAAAAAAATAAATTATAAGGTATGCAAAGAAATAAGGAATTATCTCTCATACATTAAAAAAAAAAAGCAGGCAACAGAAATTGTGAGAGTGACTAGATGTTGGATTTAACAATAAAAGATTTCAAACTAGCCATTATAAATATCTTCACAAAACTAAAGGAATGCTTGATAACAGAAGGAAAGTATGACAACATCGTATCAAATAGAGAATATCAATAAAGAGAAATTTTTTAAAAGAACCAAATGGATATGAAAAGTACAATAACTGAAACAGAAAAGCCATTATATGTAGAAAGAGCTTTGGACTGCAAAAAAGATCACTGATCCTAAAGGGCTAATTTGTGTTCTTAGTACAAGACAACTAAATCTCTGTATAATGTATTTTTTTTTTAAGTCTACAACTTTCAATAGTGGAATAATTAACTCATTTTATGATTTAATTATAAATATGTATGCTACTTCTTGAATCACATCCATTCTGATACATAATTAGCATTTCTTTAAATAGAGTGATATAATAAATAATAGTTTAAGTCTCAAATATTCAATAACATGAAAAATCTTACTGGTCTGACGTCACCACAGGAATTAGTAAATTGTCGAGCCAAGCCAAAATCGAGCATGTAACACTTCCTACATGTACTAGGAAAGCGTCCCATGGCGAAGTTCGACTAGAAAAATAAAGAAGGAAAATATACATATTCTTATAATTAGTCCTTATATATTACTCTTTCTATATTTTAATTGTTCTACTTAAATTCCATTCAGCACACGTCTCAAATATACTATTCTAGTCAATTATGTTTACTGTAAATTTCATTGTGGGTTCTATTAATGCCTATGATCAGGTGAACTTTGAGCAACAAAGATTTAAGTGACTGTATAAAGTTGTATACAACACAACACTGACTTAACTGAAATCAGAACTCTAACTTCCTCTAAGCCACTGCCTAAATGAAAACCCAATTCTTAATTTTTTAAAATGGAAAGAACTAGGAGTGGGCAAAATAGAGCACATAGCTCAAAAATGTAAATGAATATCCTAAAGCTGAATTTAGCCAAGTGTAAAAATTAAGATGCAATTTAAGGAAACATTTCAAAACAGACTAAAGGAAAATATACTTTGTATTCTTCCCTTAGTAAAAATAAATGTAACGTTAAATGGCCACAAACTTGCAAAGATGGGTATGTAAACAAGATAATTTATAAAAGCAAAAGTCAAATTGTCACAGAATTGTTAGCTTTTATTTTAAAACATTGTTCTACTTAGGGAACTTTCTGATAAAAATGGAAGCTCTTCATCACCACAGTTCTCAAATAATGACAGTTAGTTTGGCATAGAAATAAGAGCCAAAGAAATGTACATTACATTAAGTCTCATTCAATCATGTTACTTTTAGTTGCCATTTTCATGTAAACTAATTTTAGAAATCAAGTAGCAACAGACGGGTGGAATTTTCAACTGCACCAAAAATGAAAAATTTCTAGTAAATACAATATTTCCAAAATGGGTCATTCCCCTTGTGAGCAACAAAGAAAAAAAAATAATAAGAAGGCCCTAGCTGGTTTGGCTCAGTGGATAGAGCATCGGCCTTTTGAACTGAAGGGTCCCGGGTTTGATTCTGGTCAAGGGCACATGCCCGGGTTGCAGCTAGATGATCCCTGGTGGGGGGCATTTAGGAAGCAGTCAATCAATGATTCTCTCTCATCATTGATGTTTCTATTTCTCTCTCCCTCTCCTCTCTGAAATCAATAAAAATATACCTTAAAAAATAAAAATAAATAAATAAGAAGAAAAAATAAAAAAAGTTTATTTCACAGTTATGGAAATGACAATATCTAAGAAAAACAATAAGAAAAAATACTATATATTGCCACTGTAATACTCAGGAGAAAAAAGTAGTATTTCAAAATTGATGGTTTCTTTTTTTATATATAATATATTTTTATTGATCAGTGAGAAAGGAAGAGGGAGAGAGAGATAGAAACATCAATGATGAGAGAGAATCATTGATTGGCTGCCTCCTGCACGACCCCTACTGGAGATCAAGCCCTCAACCTGGGCATGTGCCCTTAACTGGAATCAAACCCGGGACCTTTCAGTCTTCAGGCCGACGGTCTAGCCACCGAGTCAAACTGGCTAGGGCTAAATAGTTTCTTATAAGTATAATTTGTTACTTAAAAGTAGTTCAGGTGTTCTCCCTCTCAGGAGCATGCCTGTGCCTTCCCCCTCCCCGTCTTCTTCCCCCAGCAGGTTACCTTCACCCTCCTCTCTCCTAAACTCCAAGGACCCTCCTTTTGCCTCTGTAACTTGGTTCCTGAGCCCATTTCTTCTACCACTCACTTATTTTACCTCTGTGTCTTTTTAAATAAACTCTCTTATAGTTTAATTCTTGGCCCTGAATTCTTTCCTAGCCATAACTCAAATAAAAAAAAATAGTTCAAAAGAACATCATGCCAATATCTAAAAACAACCTTGGTAAATATTTGTAACCAATATTAGGAAAAAGAAATCCAAAGAATAACTATCAATTCAGGGGTAAAGCTAAGTAATATGGCAATGTTAACATACATAATAATAACAGCCAAGCATTAGTTATTTTTAATTTGGCTGTTGAACAACATTTTCATTGTAGGAGAAAAGCTCTTGAATATAAGTTGTAGTGTGTAATTATATTTTTTTTAATGAAAAGGCAAGTTATATTTTGCTTCCAGTTCCATTTCTGCTACAGAAATTAAAATATTACCTTGCATTTAATATAGAAAGCTACATTTGTAAGTTACTGTGTCCCATTTTAAGATTAAGAGTACTAAGCAAACTCATTCTGTGCTCTGGCTGGAAACGGCCCCATACCGGTTTGATGTCTCGGTGCAAGAATCCCACAGAATGGATGCTCTCAATAGACTCCAGAATCTGTCTACCCAGCCGAAGAGTAGTGCTAATAGTGAATGTGCCCCGGGACTGGCTACGGCGTAGATCTGCCAGATTCCGACCCTATGGAAACAAAAACACACTTTCAAATATGGTACTAAAATTATGTTATAAGATGGGGAATTATCCATTTATCATTAAAAAATGTTTTGACTGAAATAGCAAGGATTTTACCAAAATCATGATTCTTTCACTCAAGAGAAGACATTCTGTTAGGATAATACCCGTTAAGGTAAAGTTGTCTTTCAAATCTAAGTCTGCCAGATTCCAAAGTGCTCTTTTTCACTGTGCTATTTCACTGTGCTATTTCACCAGAAGGTTCCTTATAGCCTAGATAACAACCAGTAATCTGATGAGATGAATGGTTTATAATGCTGTAGTTCTACCTCCCAAAGAATGGAAACTGGCCCCTATAGCTCAAAGAAATTTAAATATCCCAACCTCCCTATTGCCAAAATTTTGTAGTATAAGTTTAGGATTAATACCACTAATACTATCACCTCAACTAAAGACAGTTGGTTCACTTTTGAAAAAGTAATAAAATCTTAAGTTACTCAAGTACCATTTGAAATAAAATATTAAATAATACTCAAGCAAACTAAGAACTGAAAATTTGCCAGAATGTCAGGAACCTTTCATACTACACATCTTCTTTAAAAATGCAGTTTTCCCACAGCACAAATTGGTAGTTATTTTTTCTTTGTTTAATGTTAGGAGAATTTGTCGTTCTCTATATCTTTAGCAAATGTAAAATAAGTGATAATCCAGAACAACTTTTATAATCCCATGGGAGTATCTAATAACCTGTATTAGCATTCCAATAAATTTTTCTTCAAAAATCAGTATTTTCATTGCCAAAAATATACCTAATAGTAGAATTTCATTTATAAACAACTTCCACCATCATAAAAGCTTTTAGAAAGAAAATCAATTAGCCTGGCGGGCATGGCTCAATGGTTGAGCGTCAACCTATGAACCAGGAGGTCACGGTTCGATTCCCATCTCTCTATCCCTCTCCCTTCCTCTCTCTAAAAAATCAATAAAAACATGTTTTTTAAAAAAGGAGATCAATTAAATTAAACTTATGATATCAGTAATGATTTTAAATCCTTTTATTTTTAAAATTTTTTTGAAAGATATCTTATTTTTTAAATATGTTTTTATTGATTTCAGAGAGGAAGGGAGAGGGAAAGACAGAAACATCAATGATGACAATCATTGATCAGCTGCCTCCTGCACTCCCCCTACTGGGAATTGAGCCCACAGCCAGGGCATGTGCCCTGACTGGAATCAAACTGTGACCTCAGACATTCGGCCACTGAGCCACATAAGTTGGGCTTAAATCCTTTTAAATGTATACCGAAGGCATCAAATAAGAGAATCTGAAAATATAAGTACAAGGGTGGCATATGAGGAAAGAGTTACTAACGTGGTAAACACATGCAGGTTTGAGCCAGTAAATTATGAAGGGTGGGGAAAAAGAAGGTTTACAGTTATGAGTACGTGAGTTTTTCTTATATTATTATTATTTATTAATGATTGTATCATTTTCCATATGAACAAATGTAAACCTACTTTTGCCTCACCCTGTACTTCAGAGTGTATACTACAAGTGGTTATTATTTGTTATGAAGACAAACTGAAAACAAACTATATATCCATCAATAAATGAAAGATTAAATAAATCATGGTACAGTCATCTTACTGACTAATATGCAGCCACTATAAAAAAAGAACCTGTATGCACAGTAATATGGAATAAATATTATTGAATAAAAAAGTAAATTCATTTATTCCCAACTAATTCTATAAATTTAACATGGGCCTCATAAAAATACAAATATAATTAATTATTAAGGATATGAAACATACTTAAAGGGAGAGAAAATAATATAACTAAACCTCATCTGTTATCTACTCTCCCCAGCAGCACTTACCCTCCTCTCCCTTCCCCACACACATACAATGCATTATTTTCATGTAAATCCCAATCATATCATTTCATCTGCATATTTTTAAAAGTTACAAAAGAGTAAAGAGATGCATTTTGATGTCCCTGAACCTCACAATATAAAATCAAAGAGGGCAGTAGCAATTCTATTACCAAAAACTTGAATTGGAAATAAGAACATAAACCATGATATATTTTCTCTTAAAAAATACAATATATATATATCTCCTGAATCCATCCACTTAAAGCATGAATTATACAGAAAGAGCTAGGTACACAATTTTGTACCAGAAAGTAAGGATGCTATCAAAGACTGCTGCAGTCTAGTACTGTCAAATGAATCAGGATCCACCTTGAAGGAAGTCCTGTTAGCCAAAGATGGGCCAATTTGAAAATTAAAAAGAAAAACAATGATTGAAAGACACAGGTCATGTTAAATCTATGAATTCATAATTATATATATTTTAAGGATTTAAAAAATACGTTTTTATTCATTGTGAGAGAGAGAGGAAGGGAGAGGGATAGAGAGAGAGAAACATCAGTGAGAAACATTATCCATCAGCTGCCTCATGCCCCCTTCTGGGGATTGAGCCTACAACCCGGGCATGTACCCTGACCGGGAATTGAACTCTGACCTCTTGGTTCCTGAGCCACACTGGCTGGGCCATAATTATATTTTTTAAAAAGGGAGGGCTAGTTAGTCCCCTTTGGAAAATATTAGGGAACCAACTAACTATTCTGAATACTGGTAAATTAAAGAATCTAGTATTAGTCCTGTCCTTCCTGTAGGAAATGTTGTCCTTCCTCAAGATACCTTAATAGCTGGTAGAGTGCTTTTTAAAGAATTTTTGACCCGGTGACCCCCCACTCCCCTTCTAGGATTCTATCCTAAAAAACCCGAAACACCAATCAGAAAGAATGTATGCACCCCTATGTTCATAGCAGTGTTATTACAATAC